TTTGCCAAACAGGAGATCTTGATTCTTCTTCCAGAAGTAATGGTTAAAATATAGCCAGTTTTGCATTTGCCAGATAATAGATCTTGGTGCACAAGCTGCATGTGAAAAAACTGAAGGTGTGACTTCAGAAGTGAGAAAAAGTCCCATTGGGATGACCAACTGAACAGAGAAAGTAGAGACAGGTGGCAAGACAGAAGCCTGAGATGCAGCCAAGCTCTCTGAAAAGCTGCAGAAAAGTCAAGATAAGTGTACCAGGAAAGACACATGTCTGGGCTAACTCACAGTAGTTCCGTAAAGAATTTTTCAGTGTCATAAATGACAGCATCCATCAAACCCTTCCTGCCATCTTCCTTTCCAGGAGGTGATACTGATCCTTAGGAAAGTTATTCTATCTTAGCAGGAGTATGCCTTCATGTGGCACAGTGTGCTGCGTGGCTCCTGCACACTCCATACCCCCCTGCTCTTGCTCCAAATTACTTCTAGGAAAAGTGCTGAGCTTTCACAAAGTATTTACGCAAAAAAATATAACAAAACAGTAAGACATCATTCATTGTTGGAAAGAAAGTCCTCCTCAATATTTTTCTTTGGGCAACTTGCAGATTTCTGTAAAACCTCTCAAATGTGATCAAAAAGGACTCAGAAGAAAAAAACGCGGGAGTTGCCTGAGCCACAGCTGGATGCCTCTGATGCTGGGTGCTCCTTCGAGCCTGTCTTTCACCAGCGTTAATATTACCCTTAGTTTTCCTTTTCTGTTCCTCCTGAGACAACAGCTAACAGGTGTGATGACTTTCCAATAAATCACATGCAGAAACAAGAGTTCCCGTACAGCAGAAAAATAGGGAGTACAATTTCTTCCAGTGACAGCATGTGGGTGGCTTCCCCCCGCCTTCATGTTTGGCTTTCAGGGGTCAATCCTCCTGCAGCACATCCGGCTGTGATGCCTTGGCCTCATTCAAGCCTCTGCCTGGCCTTTGACACAGGCGAAGGCTTTTGCCTTTCCACCTCTCATGTAATGGGGTGCAGGGAGACAGGGTCACCCACCTCACAGCCTCCCAGCTTCACCCCCGCCCAAGTCCCAGCGCCTGGGGCAGGTCAACCTCAAAAGTCTTTTGTAAGCCAAGGAAACTTCTCTGAGATTTCCGTGATGCTGGAAAAGCACATGTTTTCCACTGTGGTGCTGCATATGAGAGCTCTCCTGGGACAAAGTGCAGCACTGCTTTTTCTCTCACTTTAAATATATTTGCAGAAGCCCACCAGAAAGTTAAAGAATTTTCTAGAAGAAACAAGTCTCTGGCTCTTGTCTAAAGATGTAAATGAGCAAACCCACCCCATTAAGCTTCCCCAAACACAGCATTTCACATTCAACATTTGCTTTTCTTGCCCTTACAGAGGTGCTGCTTGCTTTTCCCTGCTGCAACCCAGGAGAGCACTGGTACTCAGCCGGCACAGGAGCTACCCACCAACACCGGCCCAGCCACGAGCACGAGGCATCAGTGGTATTTCAGGACTTAGCAGAGCACACGCTTGAAAGCTGTATTTTTCCTAAATGGATTTCTGCATACGTTTAATTATTTTGTTGAACTGGAGCCACTGCAAGTGAAGGAATCATTATTCTAGAAAAGTAAACAAGGACGGCTGCACATTCCTGTAAACAGTCAATAGAAAAACACTCTTGACTCCAGAGGAGAAATAAAAGCAAAATTCTCCTCCAAAAGCCTCCTATTTGCTCTCAATTGGGCTCTTTCTGCCCCAGCCCTGGAAGGGCTTCCTGCAGAGGACAGCCCTGATTCGAGCTCACAGTGGCACGCATCCGTGCACTCTGGAACTCGGGTGGAAACACTCTGACAACATGAGAAACAAAACCCTTTGGTGTGGTATGGTTATGAGCTGAACATCCCAGCATTTTTTGCCACAGGAAGGGTGATGCTAAACACTGCTTTTCTCACAGCTGCTCCAGGGACTCTGCCACTGCAGCAGCCCAGACTCTTGCCCAGCAGCACCTCCACCAGGCTTTGCTTCTTCCCACCCCAGAGTTTTGCTGCTTGGAGACTCCTTGAGCAGTGAGGTGGGTCTGCAGGGAAGCCTTAGCTCCTCCATCCCACCACAGCCCTCAGCTGGGACACCCCGCAGGTTCCCATGCCCAGCTGGCTTCACAGGAGCTCTCTGCCCCTTGGCCAGCATTTCGCCAGGGAAGTTATGTTTCTCCTCAGCACCAGCAACTTCCTTCTTCCTTTCACTTCCACCTTTTGTCACATTAAAAAAAAAATCTTTAGAAAATGACAGATAAGTTTTATATTCCCATCATCTCAGCACTCCTCATTTCCCCATCTTTCAGCTGCTCTCCTCTCACTTCCTCCCTTTGCGCCTCTTGAAGGCTGAAGCAATCGTGTTTCTCCCCTTGTTGGGATGACTGCCAGCAAGCACCCTCACTCCATGGAGGGTAAGGCACAGGGATGACTATCCATGGTGGATACATCCCCAAAGTGTCATTGAATCAAAACAGGAGATGCAGTCCTTACTGTTTAACTAAAGCAGCTCAACCATTGCTGTTGATCTAAGCCAGCTGGGCAACCCTACCTGAGCACACTGGGGTGAGAAGCCCACTTGGAGCAGGCAAAGGCAGGAAATTCAAACATCTCAAGAGTTTCCACCAATATGAACTGTCATCTGGAGACACTAAAGCCCTGGGGAGGCTCCCAAGCACAGAGCCCATGGGAAGGCTTCCCAGCACGTAGGATCCCAGGGAAATTATAGAGGCAACACAACACCAGCCCTACACTCACTGCATTGCAGGGAGCTGCCAGCACCCCAAAGCAGCTATAGGGAAGGGAGCAGGCAGCAGGAGCCAGGGAGAGAACACTGTCAGAGGGCTGGGGAAGATAAGCAATGGGAAAGAGCAACAAGAGAATTAGATAGGAAGGATAATGCACCTCTACTGTAGGCTCTGCTGGGACTCAGAAATCTGATGTCCCCCCTCAAAGCAAGCCCAGCAAAGTCAGCCCATATGCAAAACATGAAGGAGACTATTGCTGCATCACCACTAGTCCCAATGTCTTCCCATAAACCAGGCATTGGAAAGCCAGGGCTGTACTCCCAGCAGGAGATTAAAACTGCTCTCTCAGCAGAAGGGACTTCTTGTAGTTACTAAACACACAAAATCAAAGTTTCCCCTACTCTCATCTATTCAAGTAGCTTCATTTTGCAAAGAAACACATAATTAGTCACCAGGTCAGACACCAAGAGAGCAGAACAGAAAAAGGCAATACTCAACTCTTGCAATTGCATGTGCTACCTACCGAACCAGAACCAAGATAGCTGTGTCTCTCTCAGGCTTTTGTAGGAGTCAGTAATTAACTATTCCAATCTCAAAAAGCTGAGCCTCCCCCAGGAGTCAGCCACCTGATACAACTCTTCCTTGGGCTGCTGGGAACAGGTGGCTCAAAGGTCTCCCCATCACCACTCAGCCTTAAATAACAGGACTGAATCACACCAGAAAAATAAAAATATGAGATAACAGGTTCAGGAAGGGAAATAAAAGAAGAACTTGATTATTTTTTTCACACATTTGAGTTATGCAGATGGCTCACAGCATACGGGATTTCAATTTGGGCTTTTAATATAAAGAAAAACTACCAGCATGTTTCTCAGCCAGAGCGACCAAAACAATCTGGTTTTTTTGTATTCTGCACTTGATGCCCTTTTTCCCTTTTTTGCCTCATAATCCTGTGTTTCACCAAGGTAATAACTGGCTGGGGAGTGAGTTTCAAGCTCTGATGGGGTGAATAAGTACTGCTGGCATCATGGCATGGAGCACTGAGCTCCAGCTGCTGGCAAAGGTGGCTGAGCATCCAGTGGGAGAGGTGCAGCAGGCAACTCAAACAAAACAAAACCAAACCATACCACAAACAAAAAACCAAACAAGCATTATCACCACTTGTCATATTTATATTTTTGATTTTATTTTTAAGTTTTATTAAAAAACAACCATTATTAAAAACGAATCATTTACTGGAAGGCTTCTGCCAGGAAGAACTCTCATGTCAATCTTGTGAACAAAATGCAGCACAGGTAAAACCCATAGGCATAAACAAAACCCAATTATGAAAAGAGAACAGTTCAAACCATAGCTTATAATTATGCAGTTTCTTCAATGTCAATAGAGAGGCTTTTGTTAAAAGCCTTGAATTCAGAATTTCATAGAAGACTTTTAAAACACAGGGGAAGAAGGAAACACATGCTTGCTTGGGAAAAAAAACAAAAAAACACAAAAAAATTTGCTTGGGTAATGGTTGATGAATTCAACAAATTTACTTCCTCCAATGCAATTGCTGTTTGCCCAGCCATACAGTTGGCCTTGGGTGATGTATTTGTTCAGAAAGCTGAACATACCCAATTCCTGCCAAGTCATTCTGGCCATAATTTCCCAATTCTGGCACTGGTTTGGAGGGAGTTTTCAGTGTTATCGTACCTGGCTTCCTGCTTTGAGAGCCTAGAGTTTGCAGTGCCATTAGGTACCAGTGGGAGCCTGGAAAGAGGGCTTCGATTCAGCCCCTTTTGGTCTCCCCCAGTGAGACAGCACCAAGATGAGCTCTAAGCATCTCTGTGAGCTCCTGAAACAGTGTGGAATTAAGCACCTGCTCTTGGACCTACCTTGTATCAAGCCACAAACTGGGTGTGTTAAAAATAGCAAATAAGTGACTACTTTGTAAGAAAAAAAAAAACAACAACCCAAACCAAACAAAAAAAACCAAACAAAACCCCCCCAAAACAAACAAACAAAACCTATCCTCAGTGTGGCAACTTTAAGGTCAAAACCAAATAAAAATTGTCTTAAAATATATACATATATATGGCTTTTCATTTTTCCTATCCATTTCATTGGAAACAAAAATAAATTTAAGGGTGATATTTGGTTTTTAAAAACAATTCTGTCCTTCTCTTCAGCTGCCAACCAGAGTGGACAGGATGGAGGTGCTGACTGCGGTTGCTCATGGTACGGCTCAGAATCCCCCCGAGTTCTTCATCCTCGCTAGTAACCGGGAGTAGACGGGTGCTGCAAGGAGAAGACTGAGTTGGGTGGACAGACACACAGCACCTCCCTGTCCCCTCCCAGCCCAGTTATGCTACATCTTGCTTGGAGCAAGGAAAGAGCATAAACCTCTCTTTAAGCGACAGGGACATATGATGGAAATTAGAAACAAGCTAGAGAATTGTTTTACCTAGTCGAGGATTCCTCTGAGAAACCTGCATGGAAAGAAAATAGGAGGTTTGCATAAATACAACAAATCTCCAACAGCTGTAAGAACAGTTTGCATGTAACATATTTATCCCAGTCTCCAAAAACTACAGATAAATGACCTGGGCTGCATCAAAAGAAGCGTGGCCAGCAGGGCGCGGGAGGTGATTCTGCCCCTCTACTCCTGCTCTCATGAGCCCCCACCGGGAGCACTGCATCCAGTTCTGCGGCCCCCAACATGAGAAGGACATGGAGCTGTTGGAGCGGGTCCAGAGGAGGGCCATGAAGATGATCAAAGGGCTGGAGCACCTCCCCTATGAGGACCAGCTGAGAGAGTTGGGGCTGTTCAGCCTGGAAGGCTCTGGGGGGACCTTACTGCAGCCTTCCAGTTCCTGAAAGGGTCCTACAGGAAAGCTGGGGAGGGACTTTTTACAAGGGCAGGTAGTGATAGAACAAGGGGGGATGGTTTTAAACTGGAAGAGGTTAGACTTAGACTAGATAATAGGAAGAAATTCTCTACTGTGAGGGTGGTGAGACACTGGCACAGGTTGCCCAGGGAAGCTGTGGATGCCCCCTCCCTGGAGGTGTTCAAGGCCAGGTTGGACAGGGCTTTGGGCAACCTGGTCTGGTGGGAGGTGTCCCTGCCCATGGCAGGGGTTGGACTGGATGACCTCTGAGGTCTTTCCCAACCCAAACCATTCTGTGATTCGATGATTCTATGACTCTTCATTACTGGAGGCTAACATGTATAGTACCATGCAAAGGTTACATTCTTAGTGTGCTCCAAAACTGCAGGCTTCATGTTGCAAAATGTGTTATTTCTTATATAATTAAATCATGTATGAAGAGAGGATTGGCCATTCCATGAAACACATGTGCTCACTCTCTTTGGAAGTCAAAATCTGAATATGATGTTATCTTCCGATCTTTATTACCAAAATGTGATTTCAGTAGTTCTACAGTGAGAGATTTTTTTGTCTTTTACCTTGGATAACGCAGATGCCTGTTTGAAGATTTCTAATGCAGGGTCTGCAGGTTCATCACCTCTTTCTTGTGGCCTTGAAGCTAAGGGCGGGACATAGAGAACATTGAAATACTCTTCAAAAATCACACAGGCTGCTTCCTTCCACTATTTTGAAGGATGTGCTGAAAACCCCAAAATACATTAATCCTTCTCAATAAACGGAAGTAATTGCCATGTGTCACCTCTCCCTCCCAGTGCAGCTCTGCTGTAAAGGTGCAGTTCTAGATACTTCCAACCATAGACCTACCTTGAGGCTGTAAGACAGAGTTCATGGCATAAATCACACCATTTGTGGCCATGATATCACTTTCAGCAACAGGCTCCTTGTTGACATGTATTACATTGTTTTTCTGTTCAGGAAAAGAAAAAAAAAGGTAGAAAATGAGAAACTGTCATCACTAGTTTCCAATTTTATTCATAAATCCCTCACTTTGCATTCATTCATTTACTGGATGGCTGTAGCCATTTTCATTCCTCTTGTAAACTAAGGAGAATATAAAAGCAAGTTACAGCCTCAGCAGTTTGTTCTGGAGCGGCTGGCAGGCTTTGGAGCACAGGTTGGGAATACTGTCCTCCAGCAACAGAGCACATCCACCAGCTCCCTGGTGGCAGTGGGAGCTGCTCTTCACACCAAGAGGGATGGCTGTGGAGATGGCATCAGGAGAACAGATCAGGACTGGACACGGGAAGGGTCTAGCACACAAGTTGGCCAACTCAATGCCCTTGGAAACACTGGCCTTTCCGCTTTTGTTCTGCGTTTTCTTCCTTGCACACAGAGCAAGTCTTGAGTTATTTATTTTCTGAAATATGATTTTTTCCTTTACAGAGGATCCTACATTCTCTTAATATAGTGCAGAATTTCTGAAATGAAATTATACATCTAAATAAATCCTGCTGTGTTAAGGGAGCCCATGCAGAGATCATTTTTGTTATACTAAAAAAGATGTGTTAGCTGAACAAGCTATTCGTTTAGTTTATTTATGCTTTCTCTCCCATGACTCACGGTTAAATTTATAACAGCTCCTGGATATCATTTACAATTGGTGTTCTGGGGAGAAAGCTGAAGATAACCACATTTCAAGACTGCCAGCCTGTTAAATTGAACACATGGCCACTGTCCCTCCACTGCAGCCCAGAAGACAGTTTGGTGGCTCTGTGCGCACATTTAGAAGAGGTTCCCACACCATCCAAATAAGCACAGGCATACTTTGGTCCTTGACATAGACAGAAAAAGACAGACCACAGCCCTGCTGATGGTAAAACCTCGTCTGAGGTGACTTACCATGCTGACTTCCAGTTTATCTCCCTGCATGGACTTCAGCCTCACAAGGGCATTAACTGCACCGCTCACCAGGATCTCATCGGCCACGTGGAACTTGAGGATGTTGGCAAGCTCCTTGGCGTTACCTGGGGGAAGAAAACATTTACATTTGCAAAACAGAATCAGCACTATTTCATGTGATGGAATGAAATTAAATGGAAAATACCATAATTTCCTGAAAGTGCAAGGAAACAATGTAAAATTGAAAAGACCAGGTAGAAGGACCTTGGTTGGAGCTGATTAGGACATTGAGGCTGTTCCTGCCTGGACAGGTCAGGATCCCAGAGAGAACAGAAGGACACTTTTTCAATGTCCCACCTTGGTACATACCAAACCTGCTCTATACATGAAATCCCTATCTACTGGTTTTTCAGTCCCCTCATTCCCTCACTGTGCACTGTGTGAAAGTGCTTCTGTCACTGCTTTCACTTTCCAAGAAGTCTAGGGGGAAAAAAAACCCTACGTGAAATAAGGAAGCAGATAGAGCACTCTGGTATTTGCAAATATCAATACTTTTGCCAACGCCAGTGTCACTTTACAGTAAGCTTCATGACTGAAACTGCAGGATTCCTGGGTAGGAAGGGGAAAAGAGCAGAAGAAATGTCACTAATGGCTTGCAGATTGCTGGCCTGATACTCACCCCACAGAGTGTCTACTCATCTAGCCATGCTCTGAAACAGATCTTAGGAAGATGCTTCCCCTTCACCATCTATTTTCCAGAAGAGGCAGTGACGTGCACAGCACAGCCAGCAGCCCTCCTCCATCTTCTCCTTTAGAAGCTGCAGTGTCACTGACAAAACCCACAGACCGGCAATGGGGAACAGCTTGCGTAAAAAGTGGCCTCCATCTATGAAACATCTATGAGCAGCTCCTTCAGCAAAGGGAACTTTCTGTTTCACTGCTTGTATCTGAATACACTGTGAGCTTTTTTTCCATTACAGTTTTCCTAAGGTGGCCACAGTTCACATTGCATGTCCTCACCAGGATGATTCACTTCATCAGAAGCATAAGCTAAATATTTGCGTGGAAAAAAAAAGAACATTTGAAGTGTCCGCATCTGGGATACTTCATTCCTGCAGCTGTTTACAATAGCTGCAAAACAGTTCTGAAATATTTATATATTAAGCACTAGACTGCATGTGCAGTCTGATATTACCAGTTCCTCATCCGTGCACTTAAAAGGATAGCCAGCTACCGTGGGCAGATGCTTCCCAAATTATGATGTCAATGTTTGGTTGGGCTTTAATGACGAGAAGACACTACACTCAAATACCTGACATTGTTTCCAACCACAGCGGGTTTTTAATAGGAACAAATTAAAAGATCGTTCTGCTTATCCAGAAGATCATTATTAAACATTCCCATGCTTTCTTTCCCCACACCCAGCCCACATGTCTGTGCTTTTCAGGATATTGGTCTTCATCTAAACTAGACTGGAATATTTGTTGTCTTTTCAGGATCAGGCTGGACTTGCTTTGTCCACGTACACATAAATGGAGCAACAGCTCCATCCTTTTACTACTTAAATTTCATGCAGTGTAACTTGAGGCTGAATGTGAACTGGGTTTTCTATTTGCAAAACTTACTTCAGACACCCTGATCCTGTGTAGTTGACAGCCACATTCTCACTTCTTCCATCTCTGACTTGCAAGGCAGAGATGTCATCAGCTCCTCTGGAAACACCTTAGAGTTATCTAAGCTTACACCAGCCAGCACAGCCAAATTTAAGCCATCGTAAGTTTGCAGCACATGCTACATACAAACATGTTTTTCAAGCATAAGGAAAGTGTAAGCCCATGCCCAGGCTTTGTGTGAGAGTTCAGTGCCACTCTGCATCCTCAGCCTTCTGCTGGATAGGGCTTATCCAAATCAGTTGTGTAGGAAGCCCATGCTTCCAGCAGACATGGCCAAAGAATGAGATATGGCAGAGAAACTTAGCCATTCCTCCCATACCATGCCATAACACACATTAGCTGCTCATCTAAATGCTCTAAAAATGCTCACCCATTAGTTTGTTCAGTTCCCCTTGGGGCATGGCTCGGAAAGCTTCATTTGTTGGAGCAAACACCGTGAAGGTACCTGGCCTGTTCAGGTTCTCCGTGAGACCTGCAGACTGGATAGCAGCCACCAACGTACTGCAAAATGAACACACATCAAATGCTTCACTATAAACTACTTCTGTTACTCTTTGAGCAATTGCATGTTGTGTTCAAAAGAGAGCTGACAAGTTACAACAGCAAAATCCTGCTGGGGTCCAGCAAAGCAATTAACCAAAATGTTGATTAGGTAGGAAATGAGCCTGTGAGGTCCAACCAGAACATCTGAGAAATGGCAAAGCAATGTGGAGATTCTGAATTCAAATGGTAGTGAGGAGACAGAGAAGCCTGGCCACAGTGGCTCTTGTGGGCAGAGATGGCTTCAGAGCCAGCTTCTTACTGTATTAAGAGGGACCACACACTCTTGGCTCACGATTCATTGAAGAGTTATTTGAAGTCTCACTCCCTATAATTTAGGGATGAAACCAAAGGTTTGGATGCTCTTTTCTCCAAGTTAGAGAAGTTCAGTATAGTCATAACTACGACCCATAATAAATAGAAACTGTTTCGACAGCTCTTCTGCTCCTAACTAGCACTTAGGAAGAGCAAAAGATCACCTGAAGCGATGGTCTGCCTTGAGAACATCCATCACTGAGCCAGATGGTGGAGTCAACATTTTGTCCACACTAAACAGGGTCCCAAACCTTCCTCTCTTGTCATGGGCTGCAATGCAGGCATTTTCAATGCAAAGGTTCTGCAAACAAAATTGCAGAAAAAAAAAAAGACCTGATTAGCATATGCTTCAAAAGAGATTATATACTTTCCACAAGGCTTAATTACACTTTTTACAGGACAGACATAACATTACAGACATCAGGCATCATTCAGCCATGTACAGCACTGCACACTGCAGGAACTTACATTGCGGTACACAAAAACTCTCAGTTCCTTGTCACCCAGAGTCTGTAGTTTCTGTCCATGGTAAAGATATTTAGAGGACAGCTGTTCTCTAACAATATGGTTCAGAAGCAAATTTTTCATGTTGTTGTCAATGACAGGAAGTCCATCTGCAGCAAAAAGTGTGAAAAGAATCAATGATTCACTTAAAATGACCACTGAGGCACTAAAAAAGTGTAAATACAGAGTATTATATGCACTATAATTTTAATTTTAAAGCTAGATGCCACTGCTTGCAGCTGAGGCATTTGACAGAGGGTTTGCATGCTTCTGCACTGAAACTGTCTGAAGCAGATCTGTGGCCCAAACTGATGGAAGAAAGGGATTTACTCCCCTGATTACCTTTGAACACATCATTCACTGGGGCAAGGAGGGTCACACGCTCACTGCCAGTTAGATGAGAACTGAGACCAGCTTGTCTGAAAAGGTCTGTAGACTTGGAAACTTCAGATTCTTGTGCCAACTCAAACAGGGTCTTAGCTGAAAAGAAGAGCAACGCATAGTAACCTTGCGTTAAAGGCAATCCTCCCTTCACTACAAAATATCCACACCCTCTAAATCCAATATTTCCTTGGCAAAATAGACAAAAGGAAGGCAACAGAAAGAAAGATACAGAGAGGCACCGGTACCTGAGTCTGGGATCAGCAGCTCATTAACAAAATGTACAACGCCATTGGTTGCCAGGATGTCCTTGTTGGCAATGATGGGTTTCCCATTGAGGGTCAGCTCTTCCCCACTGCAGCCCACGTCCAGGGTGGTTCCTTCCAGAGTCTCCATCGTCAGGCCAGCGATGATGGCCTCAGCACACATGGCTGACTTCAGGATGTGATGGTTCAGTAAGTCTGTAAGAGAAGCAAGTGTCTTAGTCAGCTGGAAAAATCAGCTATAAAATTACTGCAGCTTTGAGGAGGAACTGTTCAGTGACAAGGGCCTCCTGTACTACACTGTAAGTGGCTCCACTCCAAAAGATATGCAGTCATTTTAAATTGTGCCTTTTAAATTCAGCAGCCTGCGAAATGAAGTGCCTAAAAAGAGTAATATTTATACGCCTTTATCAACCTCAAAACATTTTGTGTGGCTATTCAACTCATTTGCCAGGGGAAGTTACATTGCATCTTGCTGGACTGAAAAGAATCACCATCACATCCAGGAGTACTCAAGGAAAATTCAGAAAAGGGACTGCTTCAGCTCTCTCCTTCATATCTGGATACCACTCTCTCTGCCATGTCTATACCTCTACCATATCCACATCCAAAGAAGTTTGGGATGTCAAGTGTGTTTACTGCAAGTGTTGTCAGAATGCGCTGAGGTTCAGGTGTCCTTGAAAAGGAATTTAGAAGAACTGCAAAATACTCCTCAGTCTCTCAATGGGTTCAGTAAACAAGTACCTACCCCTCAGGGCTTCTGGGTCCCCCAGGATCCTGTTGAGTGTTTCTCGTGGGATCTTCTCAAAGGCTTCATTAGTTGGAGCCAAGAGTGTGTACTGGCCCTCGCTTTCCAGCAAGCTGTTGAGGTCAGAAGCAGCCACGGCAGCCTTCAGAGAAAAGAGGACAGAGAGTAAAACACATTCGCCAGAACAGAAAGGTCAGCAACTTTGTCCAGACACACACTAGGGGCCAGATTTATTAAGGCTTTTACAATTTCAGAGGACTTAAAAAAAAAAATCCTGAATAGCTTCTTTCAGCACTTTGGTCCCTTTATAAATTTGACCTGGCCCTATGGTTCTCTTGTGCTTCAGAAATTTGAGTACAAGAGCTCTTTTTTTTTGGCAAGACTGAGAGCGAGTTTGAATACCCCGATATCCTTGGAAAGGGTCACAGTAATTCCAGTGAAAAATTCAGATCAGAACCCACAGCTGGCTAACTGCAAAATCTCCGTGCTTTTAAACTTATTCCTTAACTTCACAAATACCAAGGCAAATAAATTGGTACTCATCAAGTCTGAACAGTTATCTCCTAAAGCTAAGATTCCTACAGAAGAGTGAGGAGCAAGACTCAATCTACATCTCTTCACTGACAGCAATAGCAGGGTGACAATTATTCTCATAAAACTCTACTTGCACCAATATCCAACACTTCTCTTCCTAAAACAAAGTAAACTATATTGGTCCAAGGATTTTATCAGCAGCATTAAAGTCACAGCACTAGGCACTAGCAAGCGCTTCATGACAGTTCTCTGGGAGCGGGATGACAGAACGCCTTTAAGGATCCCTGGAGTACGGGTGTGATGGACTCACTCGAAGAGTTTCCAGGCTTTCCTCAGTCTCGATGATCTGCTGAATGCTGTTTGTAGTGGTGGCAATGACTTTGTCAATGACGTGAACCACTCCATTGGTGGCATGGTGGTCAGCTTTCAACAGCCTGGCGCAGTTCACAGTCACAATCTGCAGAGGGGAAGAGCCACAGGGTGTTATGTGCACTAAAACAAGAAGGTAAAGCAGCCTCTGCTGTTTTTCTATTTCAAACACAGCGAGAGCTATAATACTGAATCAGCAGGAGCAGAAATGTGCTTTCCTAAAAAAAACACACTAAGAATGGGAATGCTTTGTCAAGAATGTTTGAAATGTTTTGTGTTTAAAGAGCTTTGAAAATAATCAGTGGTTTTGTCTATCCTGAATCATCAAGACTAAGAAAATATGCAAGAACCAGCACTTAGGTGAGCACTCTGTTACACAGCAACATGGGCAACTTCCCTGCAATAGCACTGATGAAATTATCTGCTTAGAAATATTCTTTTCAAGTTCCTTCTAAATACGTATCCTAAATCAACAGTTGTCAACCTAAGCGTTACAGAGTCCTGGGCGCTGAAGGACATGGAAGGAGGTGCAAGACAGCAGAAGAGCAAGCCCACTATCAGTGGGTTTAATACAAAGGCCTTACCCCATTGGGATAGTGATGAATCTGGATAGGCAGGTCCTGGTACATTGAGTTAAGTGTGGTCCCGTGTTTCAGATCATCTGTGAGGACTCGTTTGTTCACCATGTGGTAGCGGAGGGCATTGAGCAGCTCAATGTTAACGTTACTGACTAAGGAGTCCAGAGTCTCCTGAAAATCAGAAAAAATAATTTGTTCAGTGCTGAGTGCGATTAAGGTAGTTGTAAGAGCGAGCCAGGAGATCTGGCCACATCTAGGGTGCTTCCAAAGGGGGTGTGTGTGCTAAGTGATGTATTCAGCCTTAAGCCATCTGTGCAAATGAAGAGCTCTAACTTTGGTAAATCTTTATCTTTTGCCTTACAACAGCAGCTAGCAGCTCTGGCACCCCATCCTTCGAAGACCAAGGGATGATGGCAGCAAGCTCCAGTGGGGGATCACTGCATCAAAAAGAGCCGTAAGGCAACAAAAGGCATTGCTCTGGGCCAAGGACAAATACACCAGGAGACCTTCCCCAACAGCAGCATCCCTGCAAAGGGCTCTGCTGGTGCAGGGTTAAGGTAGAGGCTTGGTAGTGGGGACAGCCAAAAAGATGCCCCTTCCCTGCCCCAACAGTTGTGACAATTTTAGGAGTGGAAATTTCACAAGACACAGAGTGAGAAAAAACAAAACCAGTGTAAAGGATATTTATATGTAATTGAGCATAGGAACACAGTGACGCAGAAAAGCTGCAGGTTTACAGCAGATGGAATTGGCTACTTGTGCAATTATTGAGATCAACCACAGGGGTAAAGTAAGGGTTGACATGAAAAAAACAAAAGGGATAGCAAGTCTCTTGCTGCAGGTCTTATTGCAATCTCTAACAGCAAGAGTCAGGGAAAACTGAATGAAGTGATTTCTACATCCACCCTCTGGAGAGCATCCACATCTCTCTAGTGTTTGGTCTTTCAGAAACAAAGCTCTGGAGCTGATGGACCAGTACAGTGATTCCCATGTTGGAAATTCATAGTCTTCCCACATCAGGACTGTGTTTGTTCTACTAGATAGGGCTGGATCCAGACCCATGCAGAGCTGGATCTCCACTCAAGAAAGACAGAGGAAAAGGAGAAATAAGAGGAATTATATCTTACAGCAGGCAAGGACGCCCAGGCCTCATTACTTGGGGCAAAAATCGTAAAACTTCCAGGTCCTTCGATTTCTGGCCTTAGGTTAGACCGGTCAGAGTAGAGCTGCGTGGTGGCAGACCCAACAACTCCCAGCGTTTCATAGATGTTTGAGAGTGGCAGCGCTGAAAGAAGAGACGGTTATGTTCCCAACAGATCATCCATCCTTCCCTGCACTGCACTGAATTAGAGGAGAGCTGTTGGTGAGAATGCTGGAGGAAATGAAGCATGTCAGGGAACTCGTACCTGTTCATTAATTACATAATAAATAATCATGGCTTGACAGCTCCAGCCTCAATTACAGCAGTGTAATCCAGGATCTATTGCATCTCTGCAGGTTTAAATGGAGTTACTCTGGATTTATATGGATGTGAACTGAGGCAAGCAAAGATATTCATTGCTTTCACCCAATCTGTGTTCGTACTCAGGCTTTTGGTGCTGGGAGCTGGCAGCTCTCCGTCTTCACTGACCTGTCTGCACCAGCCCATGTGGTTAACTGGGCAGCATCAAACTTTTGTGGAAGGAAGCATTCAGAAAGCAAAAGCAGAATACGCCTTTCTTCAATAAACCCAGTGAATTCCCTCCCAACCCCCACCAGTGGCCAAACTGTATTTTCTCCTAAATGCAATTTTGCTAAACTCGTGCTTGCCAAAATAAAAGTGAGCAGAGATTGGCAGAGCTGTCTGCTACTCTATAATTCCTTTATATTGCATTTCCAACACAGCTATATTACTTGTTGGAATAAGTAGTTCCCTATGGCCCTCCCATGCTTGATTAAGTTTAATTATATCCAAGGTTTTAAGTTGTCTGGAACACTTTGCATGCTTTGGAGCTGATCTGGCACTCAACTGCTGCTCTGCTGAGTCCATTTTTGACTTGTTCATGGCAATATTGTGCACAAATTGCAAAAATCAAATCCACTTTGAGTAATTTTCTAACATTTCCCTTTACTAGGCAGCTGTATAATTTTAAGAAGTTTAAAAAATGTCAAACATATTTTTACCAGCTGGGCAGCCTTTTTCTCCAGGAACTTTTTCATATCCAGGACAGCATTCATAACTGATCACTCTGGAATAAGAAATGGATACGGCAGATTAACTGATGGCATCTCACTGCTTTTTCTTTATTTGTTACAGAGTTCTGTATCCAACCATATTTGGTGATGTTTCTAAGCAGACCCTTCATTAGAAATATAGACTTGAACAAAAGACAAACCACAATTTTTATCTCCTTCAGGCTGCATGTTGCCTATTTCTCCACCGAACAAAAGCAGGCATAATTTCTTTTCAAAACCACACTTTTGGACTTTGTACAAACAGTGGATGGAAACTGATGCCACGGTCCCAACAGATAACCTGCACAAGACACTGCAAGCGCTGGTTCATTTGGGCACATTTCCTGGGGAATCTCCCCGGCTGCCTGCTGCTGTCACCTCTGATCACTGTTCGGGCAATGCACTGCAATCCCAGTACGACTGCGTTCCCAAACCAGCCAAGCATTTCACCCCATTCTTGTCCACCACCAGAAATTATTTAATTACTTATGGCAAAATCCACAAGATGGACCTGGAGGAGAAGGAGCATCCCTGGTCTTGGATACAGTGGCAGGAGGGCTTGGGATAAGCCCTGCAAGGACAAACTTTACCAGTGGTGGCACGTGCATCCGCAGGCAGCCTGGGCAGTACCGCAGAGCACCCACCTTTGCTAACACCGGGTACGTCCATGCGAACACCTTCAGTACAACATTTCCTTCTGGCTGGCAGCAACCTGCTGCTCTGATCAAGCACTATCCCCCAGTAAAACCAGAGGGGCCAGAGACCCCATCCTGGGGACTCGGGGCCATCCTGCAGATTTGCAAACCTTAAATAAGCAAGGGGTCCCTGAATGCCGTGTCTTTGTCTGCAGCAAAATAGGAAATAAAAGTAATCTGATTCTCAAAGCTGGCCATTTAATGGGACATGTTTTGATGTTAATGGGGGGAAATAAAAAAGAAAAAAGTCAATCCAGAAGTTACCCATTTATTTTTCACAGGGGGTTCCTTCAGCTATTTACTCGGTGTGAAAGGAGCAAAGTCATCTGATTGAAAGGCTAAAGACAGCAAGGAGTACGTGATCCTCCCAAAGACAAGCGTCTCCTCTGTGATCCTGGTTGGATTCAAGGCAAGTCAGATGCTGTACTGCTGAGCCTCAGCACACTCAAAGAGAAAGGAAAACCCTCAAGCTTCAGATATTTGTCATCATTTTAATACTGTTAACAAACAGTGGAAATGCCTGGGGTTTAAGGGGGAATTCTTCAGGGTAATTAAGAGCCAGTAAGTGAAACAAATACCTGCTTTTCTGTGACAGAAGCAAATAAATTCTGTGTCACGGTTTCCTAAGAGAATTACAAAGCAAACCCAGACTGATTGTCTAGACATTATATATTCCATGTGGGTAAGAGTTTGCCTAAAGCAATCCCTTCCTTTGACTACTAGAAATCTTAACACCCTGCTGCTTCGCTTTCCCCAGCCCCCCATCTCGGGTTCATTAGAAACACACACTTTCTCCCCTCACCACTTCCCTCCCCTACCTCCAATTTTTCTTTTTTTCACCCTAGAAACTAAATCCAGTCTAGACAGTTCCCTTGGTTGAGACCTGTAATCAAAGACGAAGAGCTGATTAAAGAGAAATCATTCCAAAGTTCAGCATAAATAATTCCTGAGTGCTGACGTAGGCTTTAAAAGGCTTATTTATAGATCGATCAGAGATTAATGAGCTGTGACGAAGGGGTAGGACGCTGATGCACACAGCTTGCAGTGCAGGGGGCAAGAGGCTGCCACAGCAGCCAGGCGCCTGCCGGGAAGGGAGGGCACCAGGAAGGGATGGAGGGACGACGTCTCCCGCTTTTCAGCGGGTGTGTGGGCATCTTGAGCACCACCCCACAAGGGAAGCTAATGGCAAGTACCGAGGCCAGTAATGGTGCCTGCTCCACCCATGCAGGGGGTCCTTTGAGCCCCAAGTCCCACACACCCACTGAAGGTGACCTAGCAGCATCACCTGGTATGCATTTGCATGCCAGCATTTTGAGTCGAGTACCAGAGATGGGGACCATAAAGAAACAGCTTTAGCTTCAGCCATTGCCCTCCCATGGCTGGCAGACTTGGTGGAAACACCACCCAAAGGCACATGGGCAGCATTCAAGAGATTGCTTGGGGCTGGGCACAGGGCATCTCCCCAGCTGGTCCTGCAGCCACCTCCAGCCCTCAGGGAGGAGGAGCACAGGTGCGGCTGAAGGCTGCTGTGCCTCAGTGGCAGGACTCTGCATCGCAATGCTTCAGCACCCAACACATCCATATGGGAAGAAGGCTGCTCCTTTGACATGTCCTCCTCCAGTTGGGTCGGAGCCACAATCTCCTGCCTGGAAAGGGATATTTCTCTTACATGGCATGGGCAAACAGCTCATGGGAGAAAACGCTGATCTCCTCCCAGCCACCACACCACGCAGTAGGTTCTGCACAAAAGGCTTTGGAGTTGCCAAGTCCATCCCCGTTTCTGGTGTCTGCTCGGCGGCTACAGACCACCACACCAGGACACGGCTGGTGCCGGCGACGTGGGTTAAATGAGCAGTGCCCTCGTACAAAGAGCATTTGTCATCCACTCTGCAGTGCCTCTGACCACAATTTCCTAACCTCCTCAGTGAGCAATTTTGAGCTGAACCTGTAGTTTTTCAGCCTCTGGTTTTGAAACACTGTATTTCTTAAATGTCTATCTGTGTCTGACTGCAGAAGCAAGCTCCTTGACTTTTATTAGTCATTGTTTCACTGCTGTTGCATTCTCAGGATCTGAAATTAAATTTTAAGTGCATTTTTCAAGGTAATAAAAATAAGCTTAGGCATATATTAGTGAATAAAGATCTATCTGTAATAATTTCCTGTAATAAAACCCATATGTTTTGTTTTTTTGTAAAATAAGTGCCAGAGAGTAATTTTTTTCCTGAACCAAGGAAAGTGCATCAGACAAGAAAAGGAAAGTTAATTTAAAAGGGAAAAAAAAGGAATGTATTAAGGGGCAGGTTACTGCCACTAGTTATTCCTCAAAAAATAATCAAATGCCACATTTATGTAAGTTGTCTTTTCATTCTCAAGACAAAAAAGTGTGTGGGGACGCATTCAATTGCCACCCCTATTCTGGAAGAATGAGTCCAGAGCGTAAGGGAGGTAGAAAAATATAAAAACCACGGGCACAACGATGAGAATATACTCTAAATAAACTATTTCTTTGGCTTTGGAATAACGAACAGTGGAAAATTACCTAATTACCAAAACAATCTTGTTTCAGTGCTCATTAAAATCAAAGCAGTGTCAGACTTATTGCCAACTGTCTTATCTCACTTCATCAGCAAGTAATGCAATGACAAAAAACGTACATAAATCCTCTAATGTCTCCCTAACTGCATGAGCCAATACTTCAGCAAAGAGAAGAAAAACAAAGGAAAAAAAAGGCAGATAAAAAGGTAAGAGTTCTCTTCTGATACACGAGTTGAAATTTCCACCGTGCACGGCCAGCCCCAGTAGAGCACGCCACCCCAGTGGACCAAAAGATGCTGCCCCAGAAGCAAGCCTGCAAAGCCTCCCACCGAGCCCCTGCCTTACAGCCTGCAACACAGATCCAGCTTGTGACACCACTGACCTTTTCAGCAGATAAGCAGGATAATACGTGAAGTAGGTGAGATGGGTCAAGCATCTCCTATCCCTGGACTACTCTTCTCACAGGTTGGAAAAGCCTTTTAGGAGAAGAGATGATCATGCTCATCCAGCTCCACCATTCCCCCTGGGCTGATGGAGTGGATCCCCCAGCCAACGGGAGGACCAAGCGCACAGCTTCAGGAAAGGACTTCAGACTATGGATTCCAAGCAAGGGCTGGATCCACCCAGTTACGCTGACAAACATGCCACATCTTGATGCTTTCAAGGCACCCACTATTCTTAAAACTTCTCATGGACCAGCTCAGTCCCACACAATGGGCCAGTTTTGAGGGTTTGTGTTGAGTACCATTAACTGCGTCCGCACACTCTCTTGGGTGCTGATGCACTGAGCACAGCACAGCACCAGGCCCCTGCTGCTGGTTGAAGAATCTGACTGCCGCAGCAAAACGCATCATGTCCTTTATGGCCCAAATGACTCCTGATTGCTTCCATATGCCAGGAACACCATGTCCAGTGGGAGCCATCACCAGTTAACATTCGTAATCAGAGCTGTCCTAGAGACCTCTGGAAAATGTGAGTCAAGGCACATGTCTTTTGTTCTGCACAAGCACTGCTGAAGGGCAGAGTAGGGCCGAGGATCAAAAACTACTAAGAAGAAAGAAGACGACAATAAAATCCATTGTGGAGATGATGCAAAGTGAAGAATAGTGAGCAAATTCCCTGCATAATGGGAACATTATCTCATAGGTTAACAGGCAGGTTAATGCTGTGTATGCTTTTCTCTCAGCAATGCATCATTGGATTAGACACTTGGGTAAAAGCAAGAGAAAATGAGGTTAGAAGAGATCACCCCATCTCCTCAAATAAAATAATGAAATGCTGCCAGACGCCAGTTGTTCCACCTCTTTCTGAAGATAAGCAGCTGAGTTTGTCTCTGCCAAATACAGCTGCACACTTGGGTTACTTGCGGTTGGTTTCCCATTTGCTTCAAAACTGAAGAAATCCGTGACTGGATTGCTTTGCCTTTCAGTGACTACAACAGCAAAGCTACCCACATCCACAGCTGAGTCATATTTTCTTTGGAGACCTACTAAATTACTCTGTTATCAGCAGAGGCAATGATGATACCATATTGCCATGCCATAATCTTGTCCATTTTACGTCAAAAAAGCCACCATTCAGCCAAGATGAGAGCCTGAACATTAATCACCCAACTTAAGTCTTTCCAAATTTGGTGGTTTTGTAGAATTTAGGGGGAAGGGAGGTGATGCTTGTTTGTTATTACGATATTGACTTTCCTTTTTTTTCTTTTTTCTTTCTGTAAAGACAATTGGACTTAAGGGAACATGTTATACCTGCTCACTGTATGGCACATCCTGCAATACATCCTCCTGAAGTACAGATTTTTCCTCTTTTAGACAAATTCATGGGTAGCATGACGAAAGGCCAAAAGCCGTACACAGTGACAACTTCTGTTTTGCCTCCCTCCTCACCATACCAACCCCAGACACAGGAAATTCATCTCGATGGGCAGCCATCACAGCTAAACCAATTAAGGCAACCAAAATAAAAGCAATATAGCTTACCACAGTTCAAGATCTCAAAGTCTGCTGTGGACTACAGAAACAGAATTTATTTAATCAGCAGTAAAGAACAGCTTGTTTCTATAGACCTAATTACAATTTACATTGGACCATATCGGAAACACACCAAATGATTTTCTGCTGTTCTTGATGCTGCAGATTCAGGACCAGACCTGGCCCACAGCTCTGATCCTCATGGCCAGCACTGTTCAGGGAATCATTGCACTGATACTGGGTAACGTGGTGGTGGTGCATGCTAAAGCATGGGCCAACAGACGTGTCTGAAAGCCCAGTTTGGCCTATACCATGGAAAAAGATTCTCCACTCCTGATCTACAGCCTGGCAGATAGTCAAGCATGCATACCCTTAATTATCTGCTGACTACATCTTTCAAAAGAATGTCCCAAGGCTGCTTACACAGATACTTTATGCAACAGCTACTTGAATATTATTGCTTGCAATTTTAGATGTGGAATTCGCCTGCAAGTCTAATTAACTTTCCTAGTGGAGTCATCAGAGAGTGTTGGCTAAAACTGATGTCTCTTTTCCCTTATTTCTGTTTTCCCTTCCAAAGCAAACATATGTAGATTAATTCTACGTTCACTTCAATATCCATCAGCTCTGGGTTGCCTTTTTTTCCCCCCTTTTCTTTTAAAATCTAGACAGCTTTGAGGCTGGTATGGAGAGAGACACAGCTAAATACTAGAAAACATCTGGTACACACTTCATTACAGCATTGAAAGCTATATAAGTATATATAGAAATGCAATTAGAATAAAACGTCGGGGTTTGTATTTACATGGTACTTTCCGTTCTTAACATCTAAGTGTTCTAGGAGCATGTTTGCCATCTGAGAAAAAACAAGGCACAGGAACTTCCTTAGGAGTAAAAAGGCTAAAGCAAATCTTAACAAAAATACACGTCAAGCGCACACCGCAGGCTCTGACATCCCCCGTCTGTCACACTGTCTGCACCTCCCACTCAGCACCCCCCTTCACAATCGGGTCTTCGGGGAGACCCCAGACAGCGCTTGGGTACTTACGTTGACTTCCCGCAGATCTTCCTCTGGTACCACTGCTTGCAGTTGGTGAAGTATTTCCTGTTCGTGCCAATCAGTTTCTGCACCGCGCACACATTGGGGCTACAGGTAACGACAAAGCAGAAGGGGTCTGGTGAGCCTCTCTCCTTTTGGTGCTGATCCCCAACATGGAGACAGAGCCCACCTGACAGGGCCCAAAAAGCCCTGCTGGGGTTGCAAGGGAGGAACCTTTGAGAGCTGCAAGTCAACTTGCTCAACCTGAGTGCATAACGATTGTCATGATCTGGAGGAAGCAGTGAAAGTGATCTCTCTTCACTCTGCCAGGGTTTCACCTCTCACCAAAATATAAAGAAATAAAGTTTAAAATAATACTTTGGTCAGTATTTCCATGGTGAATGGCTACTTACAATTTGAGATCTGAGCTAAAACCTGATAAAGTCATGCAATAATTCAAATCCTTCCAAAAAAGGCCATTATTTTATTAAGACATAAAGAAGAACAGATATTTATCAGCCTATGGACTGACTTGCACCAAAACCAGAATGGGTACTCCTACGGTATGACAAACTCACCTGATTCTGGACATGTATGCTGAGCTGTTGATGAGGAAAATGAGTTGTGGCATTGCCCAACTCTGGTTTCAACACATCACGTATGAAAGCACAGATTGAGCACGGCTATAGCAGCCCATAAGGTACTGAGAGCTCCTTCTCAACCAGAAATGCAGGCAGTTGGCATGAAATGTGTGACTAATTCCACTGAGAGCTGACTGCAGCCTTTCAGCTTTCTAAGAAGTGGTATCACTGCAAGCAAAGATGTGGCCAAACAGGAGCTGGGAGTTTACTTGCTGCTGGTTTGGCCAGCACAGCATTTCCTCGCTCAGCCTGGCTCACCATCTCCATGGTTTGTGGTCAGCAGCCTTGGCTGCCTCTGGGCTTGTGCCAGAGGTGAAGCAAATGGCCAAGAAAACTGAGGATGTTCACCTCAACTAAGACTGGATTCCCAAAACCAGCACCAACACCATGCCCCAGTTGTGGCAGTGGCACCAACAGTATGTGCAGTATTGGCTGCCAGGCAGATGGAGGGAAAACAAATAATTAAGCAAAATACAGAAATTATCACTTAAGCCCATCAGAAGTGCCCTGTACCATCCAGGGCAGAGTTTTCATCTGCACAAATGAAACTCTGGATGGGGCCTGGAGATGCCGTTGTGAAGGTCTTTTGATCTGTTTAGGAAAACAGACAGCAGCCAGTTTCATGCTGGGTTTGACCAAGATGCCGCCTGCTTCCCTATCAAAATTAATAAAAGCGGAGTTTGCAGCCTAACCACCAGATCTTCCTGCAGTCGTGCTTGCTTTCCCCTGGCATCCCAAATTTGGCTTTCTCCAAACCAGGCCAGCTTGCCCATCATTAGCATGGATTAATGTGAGGGTCTCCTATATGGTGGCTAAATCCAGCGCCAGCCTCAGCGGGAGCTTGGCTCACCTTCAATGAGCCTTTGTTGCTGTGGCTGCCGCAGGGCCCTGCGGAGGCAGGATCCAACCTGCGTGGCCCTGCCACATTCATCCTGCCCCAAGGGAAAAGGGAGGGCCCACGGGACCTTGGGGAATTAGGCTCCCTGTTTCCCTCCTTACTGCCATATCCAGTAACAGTAGTTTGTTTCTGCATTGAAGCATTTTAATCCTTTTCTGTACATAATGGACAAGGAGAAAGAATCTACTGGAAAAAAGTTAGAAATTGCAAAGCCAAACTTTCAGCTGGTACAAACTGGCCCAGGCTCAGTAATTTCCATACCAAATCATCGCTCAGAGAGACAGCTCTGACTCAGCCCACCTCAGCTACCCCGGCCCCGCCGTACCGAAATATGGTTCCAATTACATAGAAATTCCAAACCTTGCCTGGATTTTAGCGTCTGGCTGACGGCAGTGGACAATCCCTCTAATATTCATCTTGACAAGCCTGGCTACTGAAGGACTTGTTTGATCACTTCCCCCATATCCCTGGGAGCAGCCTGCCAAGAAAACCCTCACACCTTCAGGACAGCACTGAACCCAGTGCTGCCTTGCTCCCTCCTCCCTGCCCAGGACCTCAGCTCCATGGAGCTGCTGCTCTCTCCCTGACTTATTGGGGAAAACTTCTTCCCAGTTTTTCCTCAGTGTGGAAACATCGCCCCCCAGGACCGAGTTATCAATGATTCCCACAGGCAGGCTGTAGTAGCGGTTCCCTGCAGTGCATGTTCTGGTCCTTTGCCCAGTCTGGCTTAAAATGAATTTGTCAACACTCTCCCTTCTCCTCGTTGGAGTTCATCACCTCTGCCACGCTGTTCCCAGCCAGCCGCGCTGACTCGAGGATAAAACTGCCTATTGTTCCTCTTCAGCTGAAGCTTTCCACTTGGCAGGGAGCAGCTGGGAGCTGCTGAGGCAGGGGCTGCCCTTTGGAAAGAGGCAGAGAAGAGCAGGACTTACCATATGGTTTCGTGTACCTGCCATGACTATGTCCATGAAACTCCCCAGTACTGTTTAGTGTCTGCAAAGTCAGGTGGGTTTGAGGAGAGAGCTCTTAGGTTTTCATCTTCAAATGTTAATGTTGGTTATATACTTAGCTCCTTTCCCAGACTTGAGCTGATTCACTTAAAAAAAAAAGTTAATTAAGATGTACAAGTTTTGCTGCAGAGCCAAGCTCTGCCACCCAGCGCACTCTCAGCTCAATGGGAGCATTGACGGTGGGGGGGATGCTCACAGCAGAAGGGTGGCAGTCCTGGTTGCACATCCCTCCTGAGCTCCTTCCTGCAAGCACAACAACACGCCTCACATCCAAGAGCTTTGGGGCTGGTTTTGTGTTCCTGTATCTCTTTAGCACGTCGCTAATCAATGTTCAGAATTCAGTTAATGTTTAAAAAATAGCTTGGTATAAATTGCTCTCTCCATCAGAAAGGGACCAGCAAGCAAAGTGCTGTGGCTGGATTTAACTCAGCATAACTTCACTTTGTCTGGAATCCCCGGTGTACTAATTCCTTGTATCGCCCAAAGATCTCAGCCACCAGCAGGGACCACAATCACAACTCACTCTGTGCCTCTGTTGATTGTGCGGAGAGTGACAGGCTTCTCTCTGCAGAGATGAGTGCCCTGATTCTGCAATAACTTACTGAGCCTGAGCAAACTCCTGCCTCAGGCTATCAGCAGAATTGAATATTTACTTAGCATCAGATCACATAGAGATGAAAAACCAGATTCACTGTATTTGTATGCAAAGCAGTGTCTTTCTTTCATTATTGAGATTTTACAAGTAGACATCAGCTCAGAATTTGTCTGTTGGATTCACTACCTGATTAGACACATAAACAGCACACCCAGTCTCATACTGACCTGGATTCCTGCTAGATAATGTATGAAATTGCAATATTTAAGTCTTGGGTTTTTTTAAAAGCATTTTATGACCCTGCCTTCAGCAATCTCTTTAAATAAAAGCAACAGTTCAATCAATGACGAAAGCCAGCTGAAACATGTCATCCTTTCACCCTTCCTAACTCCCAGTGAGTTTTTAAAACAGTGGGGACAACTGTTAATATTGGGTTAGTTTTCTACCTATCAGTGAAAGCTCAAACTACTCAGTCCATACCACATTGTCCCTCTAACAAGAGATATCTAGGTCAATTTTTTTGGATATTCCTTATCTCGAAAGTTAAATAAGTGATTACTTTTGTCAAGAAAACTTCCAAGACTCACTGGAGGTTCCAGTCGAAGAGTAAGTTGGTGCTTACTGCACAGACATACTCCTCTGCCATTGAACCAATTTTCTTCCTTTTCTCCTATAAATTCATTAAAATTATAATACCTTCCATAAAATCTTTAACCATTCAAAACATAAGGATTTTTCCCCCACTTTTTTTTCTTAGTGGGGATTGACTAATAAAGAATCACTGAGGGAGTCTAAAATACCATCTGCAATACTAAGCATCCTGAAAGGAAGGAAGAAAGCTATTCACAGAAGAAAGAAAAAAAGTTATCCGAAGGTGGAAGAAGGAGTCGTTATCCCAGGAAGAAAGAGTTGTTATCCCAGTTAGAAAGCACTGGGCAGAGCCCCTCCGGGGGCCAGGCCGAGTTGCCGGGCGCCCTGCACCGTCCCCGGGCTCGGCGGCGCCTCGGCACCGCACAAAGAGCGCGGAGCCCGACGACG